TTGATCTTGTTCTTGTTGATGCACACTGTGGTGACGCTTGGCATGTAGGGGAACTTGACATGAGACGTGTAGTTGTTGCAGTCCAGGATCAGAGTGCTGAGCTTCTCCAGGCGGCCCAGCAGAGCCGGGTTCCAATAAGGACTGAGTGAAGGACACTAGGCCTGTACGTCAGTGAAGAAGGCTCTGACACCCCCACAGCATCCCACCGATCCACAGGACCCTCATGTCCAGGAGTGGGTAAATAATAATTGACATCCTTCTGTTTGCTGCCCACAGTCAAACTGAGATTACATGAAAAACTTCATTAATACGAATGAACTGTTGTCGGGCGGATTGCTACGCAGACTCTTTATCAGCGTCCAATGTTTCCTCTTACACTGAAACTCGGATCAACACTCGATGGCTTTTTATTGACTATGTGCATCACTTACAAACCAAAGCAGGATCATCATCTATTTGAAGATGTTTGCTAAAGAACAGAAGCCGTCAGGTTAAAGTTAGAGTTGGAAACAGTTAGCGTTACTGTCAATACACAGATATTATTCAGCACATTTTCTTTTTAGTTATTTATAAGCAAACACAGCTTAGCAAAGGGTGGGCACGCTGCAAAAGGATACTCATCCAGCAGGTTGTAGCTCAGGTCCAGCACCTGCAGGCTGTCTGTCTGTGTCAGGATGGTTTCATAAGGGATCTCTGTGAGGCTCTGGTACGCAAAGGAAAGCCACTGGAAATGTGCTGCATGGCTTTGTTGGCCTGATGCATGATGATCCATGACCCAGCAGTGAAGTGTCTTCTGTTCCTCCAGCTGGCAGTGATCAAGATTAGAGGTCAGATGATCAAACAGCAAAGCAACAGCTGGTTAGCAGTGACGCAGAGCAGTCTGGATGCTTCTGGAAGAAATGTTGTTTTTCCCTCGAACATTATCGACTCTCAGGACAGTCGGGAAATTACACACTCACACAAAGCTAACGTCAGTGTGTGAAGAGCATATTCACACATGTGTGTGCTGTTACAGAAGGCAGGATTCAAGGAAAGCATGCTTGTGCTTCCATCAGCAACGCAGCATGAAGACAGAACGTGTGAAGAGTCGACACATTTTACAGCTGGAGACACAAATCAAGTCAAACTAAAGCAGATTAAACAGATGGTAGGCTACCAACAGCACGTTTCACTGTTTGAAAGGAAACAACAGGAAAAACCTTTCAAAGTAACAATATGGGAACAAAATGTACGGCAACGATGTCAGCAAAAGGATTTAATGTGGAGCTCATGAAACGATGATTTCAGTTGGTCTGTTGCAACACTGTTCAGCATGTGAGGAACCAGCAATCACTAAAAAAAGCCTAAATGTGTCTAAATGTCTTGATTGGTGTAGATGGAGCAGCCTGTTAGTGTGAAAGCAGCACGCACAGATATTCAGTTTGATCAGGACTCACCGAGCTGAAGAGGATCAGATGTAGCCTGCATACCAGCCTCTGAGAACTGCTCACAGCTCGTATAAAAGGCCTCCTTTCATGCCCGGCCTGCTGATCACATGATGCGGATAATCACAATAACAGCAGCGCTGGCTCG